TCATCGGCCAGGGAGATTTTAACATCTGTGGCCATGGTATCACACTTAGCAGTTTTATCATCAGCTAAGATTAGGTGAGTAGTTTGATTTTGCCTTTCAATGCCTTACATTAATGCCAAGCGGTCGGATATATATGAAATTTCTGAACCAAGATCAATCAATGCAAGGATTTTATTTCCATTGCAATATACAGGGATTATTACACGCTCGTCTAAAGAGTTGTTGTATTTCCTTTGTAACGATTGTACCTGGTAGTACTTTCACTCCAACTTAATGTCGGGCTTTTTGTCACAAGAATTGGCGTGATAGCCATTGGTCGTCTCAGACTTGTCGCACTTAATAAGAAAGTGTGTACAGGTGGATGCATGTCTGCCATTCCAATAACCGTTAGTAATTGGTACATGTCATACCCACACTGCGCGTCAGCACATTTCCTAATCTCCTTAAATGGAGGTTTCATGTCCTTCGCTCCTGCGCGTGCCCGTTTATTGGGTCGCGTGGATAGAGTGGATTCGCGAGCACGTGTATGTTGGGGTCTCTCGTTTGAGGTCTGCCTGGATATGTACCCGTGATCGGTGTGCTCCCGCGGCTTCTTAACAACCGCCTTCTCCTGCGAGGTCATTCGCTTCTTAAGAGCGGCTAACTGATTCTTGAGTTCAGTGTTCTCATCGATCAACTTACTTATGTGCGATGGCTGGTTTGATTCTGATTCGGGTCGGCTCTCTGAGCTTTCCTTCTCATCCTCTCCCTTAAGCGGGTTGTCTCTTTTCTCCGTAATCGGAGTTAGATCCTTCTGAGTATTCTTATCAGGTTTAGTAGGGATCGTCCTAAGCGATCCTTTTGCGTGGCTTCTTGGCTTCGTAAAGGTAAGATTCGAAGCAGGCGCAATAGTTGGCCCGCGGGCTTTTACTTAAGGTGACTTCTTTCTTAATGGAATGTCTTCACCCTTCTCTGTTGTATTGTTCTGGTTATTAATACCAGTAGCAATGATTTCGGTTACGGATTGATTGTCCTCTTCCGCGGTCGCGTTAAATGCGGCTGCAGTAGCGGCGTCTCTCCCCAACCTCTTCTTTACAGCTCTACGCTTCTTAGAAGGAGTATTGTCTTTCTTGGTCATAATCTTAACTTATGACTGCTAGCTGGTCACTTAAGGACTAGCTTGGACAAGAAAATTTTGTGGTAGTTTTCTACCTTTTACGTTTAAGTAGTCTAAGTAGTTAATACCTTTGCTAACTTTAAAATGTGTAAGATTCGGTCTATTAAGGCGATACTATTGCCTTAGAATAAATAAACGCGTAGGTATATTCTAAGTATCGTATAAATATCAAAGTAAATAAACGAAATGAGACATTTAGTAAAGTTAGGTATGCCTCGTGAAAACAGCAATACTCTGAGGGATTGTGAGGCTGAGACATTGCCTATATATAACCCTCTCAGTACTGTTTCCGCCGAAGGGATTTTATTTAGTGTTTCGTTGTCGCTCTATTAGAAACTATGGCATGTTTCACTGGGGGCGAATCCGAGAGACTCATAAAATCCTATCTTTAGAAGAAGAAAAATACACTCTTAATAACCTTAGTTATTGTCTTAACCAATAACTTGCCACTATCAAGAAATACCGACTCAGCCTTCATCAGACTGGTACATCTGGTTGGCTGATCGGAGGATCAACTAGGAAACGTTAATAGTCCCTAGAAACCTATGTTCGGTCGAGTCATCTCGCTACCGAAGTCTTCAGATATAAATAAAGTTGGAAAGTAAATATAGTTCTAATAATAGAACTAGACCAACTCTTATGTTTGATATTTGACTGAGGCCTTTTAATGGCCTCATCCAAATATCTGATATGTTAAATGGAAAAGGTTTAATTAATAAAACCATTAAAAACCATTTTAGGAAACTTAAGTTCCTCGTGCTATTAAGAGCACATTTAGGAGACTCAAGTTCCTCGTACTATTAAGAGTACATTTAGGAAACTTAAGTTCCTCGTACTATTAAGAGTACGTTTATAATTTACGTACTGCTTAAGAGTACGTTTATAACATAGTGTCTAATGTGGAGGCCCGGCTTATTACATGATTAGAAGAAGTATTCGATCGGTTTCCAGCCTACACTGAAAGCACCGGGTTTGATAATAGCATTGACGCTCAGAATTTATCTTATTCTTGTTTTGTACAGATAAGGTATAGTTAAATGTAGCTCTTGTCGTATCTACGATCTATAATCAGCTAATTGAAAATTTAAGAACAACCAAGTCCATTGTCAAGTGCAATGTTTTAATACTGGTAGTATTATCCGCTTTAAACACAGCCGTGGTGTGCTGAAGTTGGTATTCTGGAACGAAAAGTAATATCAAGCCCAGAATTAAGCACACCGGCGTTACAGTACTTCGGTACTACCCCCAATGATCAAACACAAGTATATAGGTAGATACAACTGTTGCCATAGCGTGTCACAAACTTGTACACATTTCTTGGTGCCGATACCATGCTTTGTGAGCAAGACTTTAAACGGAGACTTTTTTGAGAACGGTACGCATGTGTAGAGTTTGAGAGTGGTTGATATGATACGACCGAAGAAATCAATAGACCTGTTTTCAAGTGCGAAGTCCTTAGCTAGGTAAAAGTCCTAGGCTGTTGGATTCGCATTGTGTGTTTTGTGATTCTTCACTAAATTTCAAATTTTCCTTGAGTGTTTCTCTCACACGCGGGGTCCCAGTAGCGTATTTCCGTTCTACCACTAAATTTTAGATGACTAATATCAGTAATTTTAGATTCCGATTTTAAAACTCTATAATCCTGGGGTTTCGAATCTAAAACCAAAGACCTAAATCGATTGGCTTTTCTGAGAATCTGGTAACTAGATACTATAGCCCTAAAACCCTAAAAACCCTTTGTGCAGTGGTGCAACGTGATATCTTATCGTACTAGGATTTCTTCAGATTGTATTCGTACAGGGAAAAACCTGTCCCGTTGGAAGTTAACAATCCCTAAAACCCTATATTTTGATGGCTAATTATGTAAACCTCAACCACACTCATCGGAGTCGGTCTTGACTTGTACTTGATTTTGTATCGACTTGGCTCTGGAAAACTCTTTTCAACGGTAATTCTTTATCCAAAACTTTGGTCCTTATACTTTGGCGTACGGGTAGAGCATGGTACAAGGTACGAGGTGGTAATATTTTTCGTGTTAATGAAACTGAGTGAAGTTCCCCACCTCGTGCGCTTCCTGTTGTTCGCTGATAGTGCATCCGTGCTTGTTGCTGTTTACTTATTGTCCTGTTTTTTTCTTCAACGTTTGCTATGTCTGTCTCGTAAATCAAGGTGTGCTCTCCTTTTGTCCATTACAGCAGGCACTCCTGTGATGCATCACCTCGGTTGAATGGCTAATGGTTTAATTTCGAGGATAATTGCGTCGCATCAGTTGGTAGTATTTGACAGTTGATAATTAATTCTTCCGAGGCGTTGGCCCTTATAAATTATGAGTCCGATTAGTTCACCACTGACCGATTTATGATATTCTGGGGCTTAGTTCTATCAAGGCTACAGTGTATGGCCCATATTATGGCGATGTTCCCTTCCTGGAATAAATGAATGTATCACTTTTGGTATTTGCGGTCGTAAGCTGGTAATTTTTTCCTTGATATTGCGCCTCATTAGTGTCTAGTTGCAGTCTAATTAAGAAATCTACAAGAGCCGGCTCTTGTAGATTTCTTAGTGTCCGGTGTGTATTTCAATCCGATGGTTGATTTGCTTGCGTCCAAAGTACATATTGAATCGAAGTTATTCATGTCGTCTTGATATAGTGTATATTGTGACCCATTTAGACAGACGAAGTAGTGAGCACCAGTTGCCTGCATTTTGTTCAACGGTTTACTTGAATAGTGGTATGAAGTCTCTGTTGTAGGTTGGTATGGTCTGGATATCACGTGCTGTGATGGTGCTTGCTCAATGACTTTCGAAAGTATGTCATTCACATATTCTATGACTTGGTCCGCTTGTATATCTTGCGGAAGGCCATGTTCGCATACGATTGGAACTTGTGTTATTGCTATGGTTGTCGCTGATTAGTGTAGGTTTGCAAGATTTAAAGGCGGCGGAATGTGAGAGCATAGTAAATACAAGCCTCGTCCATTAGGCACAATCAAACCAAAAATCACATACTTCCACTTTCGTATACAATTTTCTGGGCATGTCTGCTTTTACCATCAGCCTCACTTCAACAGTCGCCAATGCCACTCTGGATTGCTCATGCGCCCTCCAACACGGACTATAATACCCCGTGGTTCCCTTGTGCCCGCCCATAAAGCCCACACTTGCTGACACATGGTTGTTCTTTGTTTACTTTCACTCTATCGCCAAAATTTTGTAACGCAGTCACTTCTGGCTTTGCAGGGGTATCGTCGAAGGCGGTGTCACCGCTACCGACAGCAGGCGTATCACTGGACAAAATAATTGCTGGGGAACTAGCAAGCAATTATATGACACGTCCCTACGGTATCTTGCTCAATGTATTCTGTCGAGTTGAATAGTTTAAGTTGAGCGAATACAGCGTACGAGAAGTCAGAAGAGTCAAGACCGTTTAAAAAGTTGGACTTTAAACTCTGCACAAATCTGTGTGCAACTCGTATATCTGCACAGTTTTCTTTTGGTTGGTTATGACGGATTTCATATTTGTTAGTTATGACATGTTTCATTTTCATTGGTTATGCCAATCAATGACGTGCCATGGGATTGGTATCAGTTCTTTTTAGTTTTTCGGCAACTGAGCAAGTCAAGCCAAAGATCCAAACTCCACAGTCCACACTCACAGAAACTCACACTCCCACGGACACTGCCATCATTTGTAAATTCCGACCTAGTCAAGAACTGTTTCGAATCAATTACCAAGCCCAAAATTCAAATGAAAACAATGTTCATCGAGACATGTACATTTGTATTGTCTCCAGAGAGAAATACAGTGGACTGGTACGAATGCTTACAACGACAGGACAACAGACAAACATTATTCTATTTATTGGGTGCGCTTTTGTTTCGAATCAACTATTCCTGAATTGAGGAGGGCAGCCGATACTTCTCCGATGACTACGGGGTATGCACCATATGGCTGTGCGATTGATTGCTGTTGGCGACACCCACTGACTCGGCTCCACATGGAGCTCGTGTGGGAGGGACTATGGCGCGTTGGGCACATTTTAGGGCTTAAGGTGATTGGTTACCTATCAGATCGGTCGTAATTAAGTCTAATTGAGTTGCTCTCAATTAGAACTATTGAGAATATCTTTGAAAGCATAGGGCTGGAAGTAGTACCCTACACCATCGTAGTACTTGCTATTGAACTCCACCCAATGCAGACGCAATGCATGCAGGAAGGCACTCATGCCCTCCATTCCAATCAGAATGGCCATAGTCAACACAGACCACAGGCCAAACGCAAAGAACAGCACAAACGCTCCGGCAACCCCCTCGACCTCAAATCCTTTCATCAGGACCATTTCCCACAGCACTTCCGACAGCTGCGCATGGGCCAGCGACAACGCCCACAGACGAAGGTAGGACGCCGTGTTGGAAACGGACGACAGCGTAAACTCAATTGTGTGGATGCACTGCAGACGGAAGGAGAATGCAAGCGATAGGGTTTTAGGGTTTTAGGGTTTTGGAGTGTTAGGGTTTGATTATTACGACTGCGACATCGCATCCTCAGCACATGCACAGTCACTGTCCTCGTGAATTGCGATTAATTTGTCAAATTTTTGCAATACTACACAAAAAACAGGTGCAAACATCCCAATAGAAACCCTCAGCTGCACGAGCACTCTCGCGTGCATAAGTAATGCAAGACGGACAGAAAGATTCCACACCACTTGTCCTATTTTTTGTTGTTGTTGAAAACCTAGGACCGGTATGTATATACAATGCGCGAGTGCAGCTCAGCAAGCCCAACACGCTGCAATCCAACAGACACAACGCGTTACAATCAAATAGGCAGCATCGATACACTACTGCGATATGAAGATGGCCCAAAGCCAGACCTGTCATTCGAAATCATAACACATCAATCAGTCACACCCAATGCAATGCGAGCGAAGGGCGTGCATATAAACCAGGACCACATGTCACTAGTGTCTGCAGCCCGTGTGCTTGGGCGTGCATATAAACCAGGACCACTTGTCTCTAATGTCTGCAGCCCGTGTGCTTGGGCGTGCATATAAACCAGGACTACATGTCTCTAATGTCTGCAGCCCGTGTGCTTGGGCGTGAACGCCTCCCTCTCCTGCAAGTAGACGCTGCCCTGTGCGTACCTGCTCCACCACCACTTCGCTGAAGTCCTCGTGGTCGTGTTCTGCGTCGCTGCTGGCAATGACCACCTGATGCCCCTCTCCTTCGTCAGGCGGCCCTTCCAACGGCCGAGACTGCAGCCACAACGGTTGTAGGGAAAGTTGTAGGAAAACGATAACAATTAGTGCGTGTAATTGTTTGTAGGGAAACGTTATGCGATGCAGTGTAGTGTGCTTTGGCTCGCAAGTGTTCTGTACGATTGCAGTGCAAGCTACAAGTGCAAATAGACGCTGAAGCTACAAGTGCAAATAGACGCTGAAGCTACAAGTGCAAATAGATGCTGAAGCTACAAGTGCAAATAGACGCTGAAGCTACAAGTGCAAATAGACACTGAAGCTACAAGTGCAAATAGACGCTGAAGCTACAAGTGCAAATCGACGCTAAGCTACAAGTGACAAAAGACGCTGAAGCTACGAAGTAGACGAAATAAGACGACGTAACGACGTACGTAA